CCCAGCTGCTGGTACTTGCTAAAACAGATACCAAATCCCAGAACCCAGCTTTATCTGCACCTTATAGACCATGATTTTCGGGTAAATACTTGAAAATTCAAAGCCAACCGATTGCCTTTTGGGTTTTGCTTCAATCAGTGGCCATTGATAAAACATTTGTCTTCTCTTCTCAAATGGACCAGGGAAATATCCTCCAAAACGCCACAATCTGATGGGAACGTTCTTCAGTTTGAGGATGAGTACTTAGTTAAGACAGTTTTGGAAGGAAATGATATTGGAGTTATTCCTTACAAAATCCGCATCTCGGAGGATGGGGAGCTCTTTGTTGTGGACTCCGTTAATAGCAACGCACTCTCAGACTCTTAGTCTCGACCTAGCAGATCTTGATGTCGAAGCAGGCGCGGGCAAACTTAACCCGTCCGGCCAATAACACTTTTGTCAGGTGCAGCCGTGCAGGTCCAGAGAGATAGGAGAAGCTTCGCTGCCCAAGCCTGAGTTTTCAGTACGTGTCAGGCACTGCAGCGGCGGCCGAAATTGCCACCAAAACATGTAGAGGCCGAAATTGCCACCGGAAACACGTAGAGGACGTCAGGCGTGTCAGTCGCTGCACATCAAGTATGAGCTGGGCGGTCTTCTGCGTCACGACACTTTCGCCAAGGTCTACCACGCCCGACACATCGGTCGGCCTTCTTCCTTATGCTTCTGATTGTCCCGAGGTTCCTGCACGAGCTGCGGCTGCTGCAGCTGTTGCTCGTGCTATTGCTGGTCCCGAGGTTCTCCGTCGTGTACATGGTGGTCAGGTCGGGTTGTACGACGGTCAGTTCATGGATGGATACCCTAGCGATGAGGATCGAGAAGCAATCTTCCAAGCATACATTAAAGCGTAAAATGAGGACCCAGAGCAATGAGGGAGCAGTCACAGCCATGTGAAATCATTTGTCAAGAAAAGCAAAAGATGACCTTGCAAAGCAATATGGGTGGACAGAGAAGAAGCGGGGAGATCAAGAAAAGGAAAAGGAAAAGAGAAAAGAAGAAAAGTAAAAATTTTCCGATAATTACAATTCATTTTTTCTGCTAGGTGAAGAGACAGAGATAGTGGTGGAAAAGCAAAAGCAAAACAGAAAACAAAAGAAAAAGAGAAAGCAAAAGCAAGGAATAAACACCCCACCAGAATGATGTAATTTATTTTCCTTATCGTTCGGAAACATTTGTATAAATCCCATCAGAAGGTAATATGTATAAACCCCATTAGAGGGTAAAAAAAACAACATAAAAAAAACAAAAAAAGGCCCAAAACAATGGGCTACAAGCCCAAAATAAATGGGCCGCAATTTCATGTGGAGGGCGAAGGCCCATATGCCCAAAAGAGCAAAACCCTTTATTAACACCAACCAGGTGACCAAAAGTATGCCCAGTACTCGACAATTATTCGGCAACCTACCGCTATTACCACCAACCAGGTGATGAAATTATAACCTGTACTCTCCTTCATGCCACCAACCAGGTGATCAAAAGTACGCCCAATACTCCGAATTGTACATGAGCATTACTCATTTCATTCATACATAAACATTCATGAGCATCACTCATGACAATCATACATAAACATTCATGACCATCATTCATGTCAACATTCATGAGCATCACTCATGTTAACATTCATGAGCATTACTCATGACAACATCCATGAGCATCACTCATGTCAATCAACATAAACATTCATGGGCATCACTCATGTCAAACAGCTTCAAAAGCGTCATTTACAGAGCTCTAGCTTCAAAACTTCACTTGCAAAAGCTTCACCCACAAAGCTTCAGTGCAGGGTATACAAATACCGCCTCCGAACAACCGCCATTTCGGCCCATACATGGATTCAATTTGAAGTCTCCAGCCAACAGACTCTATTGACCGAAGACTTGGGGGACTACATTATGTACCATATATTGGGCCTCAACTGGGCCTCATGAAAAATACTTAGGGGACTTAGACCATTACTTATGTACTGAGGAGCGAGCCCTTATTCTATAAAAGGGACTCCCTCACCTTCATTAGAGAGCACCCATTATTCATGTACTGAGGATCGAGCCCTTATTCTATAAAATGGACTCCCTCACTTTCATTAGAGAGCACCCATTATTCATGTACCAAGAAGCGAGCCCTTATTTTATAAAAGGGACTCCCTCACTATCATTAAAGAGCAATGCCGCCAGCTGAGCAACCACCTCGCCGCGAGCATCACTCCTAACCCATCACTTATGTATTGAGGATCGAGCCCTTATTCTATAAAAGGGACTCCCTCACCACCATTAGAGAGCATCGCCGCCTACTGAGCAACCGCCTCGCCGTGAGCATCAACTCTAGCCCATCATTTATGTATTGAGGAACGAGCCCTTATTCTATAAAAAAGACTCCCTCACTATCATTAGAGAACATCAACTCTAGCTCATCATTTATGTATTGAGGAACGAGCCCTTATTCTATAAAAGGGACTCTCTCACTATCATTAGAGAGCATCAACTCTAGCACACCATTCATGTATTGAGAAGTGAGCCCTTATTCTATAAAAGGGACTTCCTCACCTTCAAACGCCGCAAGCCAAGCCAACCAAGGCAACATAAGCCACAAGCCACAAGCTGAGTAGCCTCGCAGCGTGTGCTACTTCTAGTTGAGCGTCATTTCAGATTGAGAACTGCCTCATATAGAGCATCAGTTCAAGACAGCATCTAGTTACTTCGGCCTACATATGGACTGAATTTCAAGTCTCCAGCCAAAAGACTCTCTTGACTGAAGACTTGGGGGACTACTGTTTATACCATATTTAGGGCCTCATATTTAGACCTCGTATAAATACTTGAGGGACTTAAATGTAATTATGTAATAAAGGAAAGGGCAAATATGTAATTAGGGGAGGAGCCCTTATTCTATAAAAGAGCCTCATCACCCTCACAAACCCTAGGCCTCTCCTATCTAGGGCAAAGATCTCACACTCTCTCCCTCATAAATACTCTCAGATAAATACAATCAGTGTGGACGTAGCCCAAACCTTGGGGTGAACCACGATACATATTGTGTTATTTACATTACTTGCAGATTCACGGTCGGATTTACGTTGTTCCAAGACCTCCGGTTTTGTGCATCAACAATATTAATATATAATTGCCGTCATCATGACCTCCAAGCTTGTGGATACGTGTTGGTTGAAGAAAGTTGAGGTTCCACCATTAAACCAATTGGCAATATGGAGAGTAACCCAACTTATAAGCCCATGCAAGGCCCCTCCTTCCATCAATGTGGGATTCACTCTCAACACACCCTCTCATGTGTGGCAAATTTCCAAGCCTAATACATGGACAACACAACGGGGTGACGTGAAGCACATGTGGCCGTTTGACTTTACACGTGTGATAACCTGACTCTGATGCCATGAAGAAAGTAGAGGTTTCATCATAAAACCAATTGGCAATACAGGGAGTAGCCCAACTTACTTATAAACCCATGCAATGCCCCCCTCCCATCAATGTGGAATTCACTCTCAACATTGGCCACGTCATTATTTGTTGTGATTTGGCTCATCAAACTACCAAGACCAATCAAGTTTAGGTTTCCAATTGGTGTTGAGAAAGGAGAAAAGGAATGTGCACAGATTTCTCAGTAAGTCCAATCAATTTAGGGTTAAGAAATAAGTTAGCTTTTTCTATCCTAAAAGGATATAGGAATCCTATACTTGTAAGACATGTAACCTAGTCTATGTATTATAAATAGGCTTGTTCAGAGGTGTTTATTCATATGAACAACATAGACAATACAAGGATAGAGAGCCAAGAGAGAGAGAGATAGATCTAAAGCAAGGTTTTGTGGATTTAGTGTAAGGGTTTTCAATAAGTTCTTGTAACCAAGTTGTTATTCTCCATAATGCTGGTGATTTCTCTAGAGAATCACACAAGGAGTAGCAAAGTTCGCCAAACCTCACCATATTCTTTGTGTTTGTGTGTGGCGTTTTACTTTATTGTTCATAAATTATTTCGCATAATCACATAACATTATCATATTAGTTTGCATAACACTGGATACTATCAATGTAAAAGATCAAACTAAGGGGATTAAAATTTACATTATCACCCCCTCTCTCTCTCTCTCTCTCTCTAAACTAGCTACTTAGTTATTTTGGTTCCATGATGTATAAACAAGTTCTGGATATTGGATCAGTCATGAATGGCCTGAAGAAAATATATACATATATATATATATATATATATATGTATGTATGTATGTATGTTGTGCATTACCAGTACTATATCGTTAGTAGAAGAAAAAGTCAAATGTTGCTTGCTTATTCTCTTGCAGCTTTTTTTGCTTGTTTTCATGAGTGGATGGCCAGAAGTTGCACCCATACCATGTTCAAATTAAAAAAAAAAGGACTTAATTTACCATCCAATTTGCCTACGTATATATAGCTGCATAACATTTTCTATAAACTGGAAGGGTTCAGACTGGAAAAATGATTTTCAATTTTTTTCATGCACATTTATGTTTAATTATAATTTTGAATTAGATAAAGTAAAGGAGAATCAAATGACATAAATAAATAAAGTAAGCAAAAAAGAGCAAAATAGTATGCAAAAATTATTTTCCTTCAGAATATATTCAAACGATTTAGTTTATGTTTCTATTAATTAATTAGTTTGATTTTTTTTTCTTCATTTTAAAAAGGGGGACGACTGGTGGCAAGTCACAGTTATCCACCTATTATGGGGGCTGGAAAGACTTGCAGAGGTATTTCAGCCATTCCCTGACCACAGTCGAGCAAACTCACCAGCACACGATATTCAAATGCTACTTGTTTTAGCTTATTAATTAGTTCGATTTCAAATGCTACTTAATTTAGCTTATTGTCGAACTAAGAAGGCACACAACATACCATATTCCATTTCAGAATTGGAAAAAAAAAAAAGGTGTAAAATATAGAGTGAGCATGCCTGCCAAGTAATATCCACATGAACTAAAAGATGAGAAACTCTAGATAAGAGAACTGATCAAGTCCATTTATTATATCAACTCCATAACACATTACTACAGCTTTGCAAAAGGATTTTCTAGACCATCCTTTAGTTCATAAATCTACTGAACAAAAACCCTAGAAAGATAGCTATGGCCCAGATCAGAGAAGAAAAACGATGCCTATTACATAAACTGGTGACAACGATACTCTGCTGATGAGTTAATCATAGTCTCCTTAATTCCTTCTACTGCGAAAGTAAGCTCCTGATTACAGCAGCTTGGGCAGTGTCAGTTGTTGCCAATAGCTCGGACAGCCGCTCACTTAGATCGTCCACCTCTCTGTGCAAGTTTCTAATGTAGTTGCACGTTTCCTGTAGCAGTGTGGATGCTGAAACCTGTGTGCATATGCAATTCACTTTGATTAGCATGATATATCACATTCTAGTAACTTGAATTAGCACTGTAAACAATAGATTAACTGATTAACTCAATTCAACTTCCAAAGCCAAAATTTGTTGGAAAATTTTAGTAGGAAAATAATTTTGCCCGGATATATATATTCTTCAGGAAAGAGTGATTCATTAAGAAGAATTTATAGAGAATTATATATAGATAGAGTAGTATATATGAAACGTACCCCACAATCAAATCTCTACCCTTTTCTTTTGTTAACCGAGAGGGTTTGAACTACAGACCTAGCCTATTCTTACCCATCACTCTACACAAATAGGATACCTAATAGCTTACAATAAATTTTCTACCTTATATCTTGATCAAATAGTAAGATGGGAGCTAAATAAATATTATAGCGGTTACAAGACCCATATATATAAAAAAATATGTATTCAGTTTAACCTTCTTTGCTTATCTTTGGATACTATAGAGCAAGGAATGCCCAAAAAATTCTTATTATTTTTGTTTTTCGTCTTTTATATAGTGATCTCATATGAAAGAGAAGCCAAAACCTAAGCGAAAACAGTATGAAAAGTACTTATAGTTAATGAAATAGATAGATATATGTACCTTGCCAGAACGTCTACTATTGCGAATCTCAGGAAGAAGTTGTTGCAACTTGGAAACAAGATCATTAATCTGATCGTCGGAGATTCTTGAACCACCGGATTGCCCAGATCTTGACCTTCGGCTAGACATTGCTAAGTGTGTGAGTTGGTAATGTTAATTGGAGGTATAGGCGAACTGTAAAATACTCAAAAATCGAGCTGAAAACTAATGTAACTCAAAGGGACAAATGGGAAGGAGTTATAGGTGTCAGAACTTTTAAGTGCATGAATATCACAGAGAATCACAAGGTGGATATTCAACTTAGAAAGTGTGAAAAGAGAATAAGTGTTGAAGACAAGTTAAGGAGCTAAGTTTCTGGTATTTTAGAGAGAGAGAGAGAGAGAGAGCAAAAACAGAAGCTGTGGGATGTTGGGTAATGTTGAAGACAATTGCATGAGAGAAAGGGGTGGGCTAAGTCTGTATTTATATAGGGTTTTGAAGAGGGGGGGGGGAGAGAGAGAGAGAGAGAATATCAAGTCGTAAAGACCCCATAATTGATGTCTCTGCCTTGTATTTTACAAATTCCAAATTGTCCTTTGGGAGAAATTTTTTACTGTGACGCGAACACGGATAGTACATCACATATTTTTATGTAAGTGGTGGAAAATTTTATTTTTTAAGTTATTAATTTTTTAACATACATATTTCATTATTTATATAATGACACGTGATGTACTATCTCGTATGCCGATCACATTGAAAAATCTCTTATCTTTTGGATGTCTCTGGTGAACTCCCTTTGCCTTTTCGTGTGTGACTGTGTCTGGGAGATAAACTTAAAAGAGAGAGAGAGCTATAGGTATGTGTATTGTAAATACAAAAATTTCAAGAGAATTGAATAAAGTTATAGGTTGTCATTTCAAAAAAATTATCGTGCATTTAAAATTTTTTATTTAAAATAAAAATATTTAGAAATAGAAAATGATTTTTTTGGAATGTTGTTAACGTCTTCTTAAAGTTAAATAGACTTAAATTGTATAGTTACAAGCTTACAATGTTAATTACAACAAGACTGTTTTATAATAAAACCTTATATAAAGAAAGAAAATAAGTGTGCTGGATCGGTGTTGTGTCTTGTGTGTATCTTGTGTAATGCGTGTGTGTGAGATTGAGGAACAACCAAAATAGGGCTACGTGATGAATGGTCTTAAGTGTTGACCAGTCAAAGTGATGAACACACCATGTTCTTTGCCCTAGCAAGGTGACATGGCGCCACGTGTCGTCACTGGAGCCAAAGCGTTCCACCGACGCAGATCCCTTGGCATAGTGATTCATGACTTCTTATATGTTATATATGCTAATTGGTAAGTCGTATTTTATAATAAAGTTTGTGTTGAGATCACTACACACTCTGATCCTAGCTAGTTGATGCAACAATATTGCCAAGTTAAGCAACCAATTGTGTATTCTGCTACAGTGTTAAAAGTTTCAGAGTTATGTTGATATATTTTTTCGGTCAGTCCCATTTCGTTGAAGAATTTCTAATAAAATAATCAAGTTTATTTTAGGATTTTTTGTATATCTCACTCTACATTGTATTTGAACGATTCAACCGTCTATTTTTTAGGTTATCTCTCAAATATCATTTCTACAAAAAATGGATTAAATGTAGTCATAATAATGTTTCTTTGAAAAACCGTATTCGTTTATTTGGACACTACAATTGGATGTCATAGTGATTTTGGATTTGTCTAATTTTTTGTAAGAATGATCTATGAATGGTATACTAAAATATAAACCGTTTGGATAATCCAAAAAGTTTACGGAATGAGCACCACAAGGAAAATAAAATTATGAGGGAAGGGGATTTTTTTAGTGGTATTTGTAGTTCGTTCTTTTATTTTTATTTTTGTAAGAGGGTTGGAGCACGGTTGTTCAAGAAGGTTCATTTACACTGGAGGTTCCGAGTTTGAGTCTTGTCAACATATCGCTTATATGAAAATAGAAAAACTTGTCCATGCAACAATTAATTCTGAAGCACATCGATCGAGAACCATATTAAACAATTTACACACACATCGCAGTAGTAGTATCCAATGATTTTAATTTAATGATCTTCTTGATGATGGCATTGCTCTTCTGGTGATGCACAAGCGCACTTGCTGTGGAATCTTAATTTTAATATACTAAGCATAAATAGTACATCCATAACCAAACTAATAATGTTGTATTTATATATGGATGCAGATATATAATCAAACTTTAGTGAGAGAATAAAGATCTAACAATGTTGTAGTAATTTAAATTTTGATCAATATTTTTAGAGATACATAGACAAAACCGAACATGATTTCCCAGACACGTGCTTGTGATGTTCCAGTCCATTTAATAGTTGTAAGGCTACTGGAAAGTTGACCAATTAATTAGTATGCATAAAATAAAATAAAAATTGTAAACCAAGGTAACTAAATTATTTAAGTTTATAAAAATATATATAACTTGAGAAGACTCTTACCTTATTGGCCTGGCCTATCAACCTGGAAGGTCCTGATCCTTTGTATATCAGAAATCTCTAAAATTAAACAAGGGTAAATTATATACTACCTCTCAAGTTTGAGGTCTATTACAACATCATACAACATTTCTAAAACATTTCACTTCCATACCTCACCTACTATTTTATTTCAATATAGTACCTCCGTTACATTTTCAATCCATTGATTCGTTAAGAGATGACGTGGCTGCCACATTTGTACGACGTGGCAAAAAAAAAAAAAAAAAAAAAAACCTGAATCTTCTCAACAACAAAAAAAAGAAGAAAAAAACCAAAAATACCCAGAAACCTCCCCCCCCCTCCCGACCCACTTTTCTCCATCTCCTCCCACTTCACCTCCCATTCCTTCTCCCTCCAAACCCCCTAAATTTATGCACTTCTTCCAAAACCCACAAATCTCCACCGGCTCCGGCTTTGGACCATGGAACTCGTAAGGACGGTGATCCTTCCCCCAACCGATGCCGCGAGTGGACTTGAGGTACTAGTGGACGCGGTGGCGGCACTTTTGGAGGTGGTTGACGCCTTCGATGCGGTAGCACCACCAGAGTTTCTCCCTGATGATCTTGGCCTTCTCGATGTCGATCAACTTCTCCCGCACCAAGTGCTCCCTTATCTCCAGCATCGCCACCGGGTCCTTGTACGAATTCGCTGGATCGAAGTAGTCCGGTGGCAACTTGTCGAAGTCCACCACTCTCTTCTTCCGCCCCATTTTTCTCACGTAGTTTTGGATTGCTCACTCTCTCTCCATTTTGGCTTCGATTTTCGCAGTTTCGCAGCTTTTGCCATCTGCAGCTGCTTCGGGTTATTCGCGATCTGGGTGAAGGTGTTTCAGGATTTTTTTGTTAAGGCATGAGCAAGCAGTGGGACAAGATGGCAGAGGATGAGCAGCTCTGGGAGCTGATATGCACCAGGCACTGGGCTAACACAGGCTGCGGCAGCCAGCAGCTGAGATTTGTGGTCCTCACTCTCAACGGGTTCTGGCGGCAGCTTCATGCCCACTATATCTGGCATCTCAGCAAGGTGAAGGGGTGCGTGATGGGGGATGGGAGATGGGAGAAGGGGGGTGGGCTTAGGTAGGGGTGGGTGATGGGGATGGGAGAAGGGGATGGGCTCAGGTGGTAGAAGAAGGGAATTTTTGGTTTTTTTTTTTGTTTGTTTTTTTTGTTGAGAAGATTCAAGTTTTAAAAAAAATTATTTTTTTTGCCACGTGGTACAAATGTGGCAGCTACGTCAGCTCTTAACAGATCAATAGATGGAAAATGTAACGGAGGTACTATATTGAATAAAATAGTAGGTGATGTATGAAAGTGAAATGTTTTAAAGATGTTGTATGAGGTTGTATTAGACCTCAAACCTAAGTGGGTATTATGTAATTTACCCTTACACAAATGTTCATAATAAATTGGTTCCTGCAGGGTCAACGTTTCGACTTGCAACATAGCATTCATTAGTATGTAGAAGCACTCAAATATCCCTGGTATAGAGGTATATATATACACCGTGTTACTCTAGTTTAATTCCTTTCATGTTTTTTTCTTCTATGAGTAATTTCATGTTCATATATACTACATTGCAGAAAAAAGTTAGCAGGAAGTCTAAATTAACCATCACAACTACTTATTTTTTAGGTTTATGACTAGAATAATGAGACCCCAGATTTGACGATGACCATAGAGAAATAAGTTATGATTTGAACTTCATCTAAAAAGAAAAGCGTGAGTCAAAAAGCGAAAAGTTTTGAACTTTAGTAACAAGCAAATTAAGAATCGATTTATATGAGTTGAGTTCATTTCATATTTTTTTTTTCATGAAAACGTTAATCTTCATGTTACATTGAAAACGTTAGTTTATTAAATAGAAGTGTAAACTAATCATTTCTTAAGTTTTAAAGAAAACGCCAAGTAATACCTTTCATTATTTGTAATTGTTTGATGAGACTTAAACCCTAAACCCTAATTTGATTTACAAAACGAAAATTTAGGTAACTCTAAAAGAATAAGATAGGGTGTATTCAATTGGGATTTTGAGGGATTTTAATTCTTTTAATGAATCTAGGGGTATTCAATTAGGACTAGAATAATGAGACCCCAGATTTGACGATGACCATAGAGAAATAAGTTATGATTTGAACTTCATCTAAAAAGAAAAGCGTGAGTCAAAAAGCGAAAAGTTTTGAACTTTAGTAACAAGCAAATTAAGAATCGATTTATATGAGTTGAGTTCATTTCATATTTTTTTTTCATGAAAACGTTAATCTTCATGTTACATTGAAAACGTTAGTTTATTAAATAGAAGTGTAAACTAATCATTTCTTAAGTTTTAAAGAAAACGCCAAGTAATACCTTTCATTATTTGTAATTGTTTGATGAGACTTAAACCCTAAACCCTAATTTGATTTACAAAACGAAAATATAGGTAACTCTAAAAGAATAAGATAGGGTGTATTTAATTGGGATTTTGAGGGATTTTAATTCTTTTAATGAATCTAGGGGTATTCAATTAGGAATTTTTAAGTGATTCTCTGAAATTCAATGTGTATTCAATCATAATTTTAAGATAGTTTATTAAAATCCTTAGAAATTTGGGTGTATTCAATTATGATTTAAAGAAGTTTATAACATCCAGGTGTGTTCAATTAGAATTTGATTTTAAAGAATTTGAAAATTTGAGGAATTTGAGGGAATATGAGAGATTTCGTAGTGTATTTTTAAGCATCCACAAATCTCACATTTCTCCTAGAGTTTTCAAGGGAATTGAATCAAATTTTTGCATGGAATCTCTACAAATCAATTAAACTCCATAAAAATCCATGAATTTATAAATCCATTAAAATCTCTCAAATTTCCAATTGAATACACTCCCCAAAGATTCAATGGATTTATAAATCCATGGATTTTTA